TACAAGGTGAAATTTGGCAAAGTTCCATCGTTCATCCAGCGTTTCTTCTTAGCACGGGATGATGCCGAAGCCGTGCGAATGTAATTCAATCGTTACTCATTCTTTCGCATCCTTGGGCCGACATTGATTACACATAAATATGTCTCATCATCAGAAGCTCAGCTTTTTGCTCTCGTTTTTTTCCTCCTGTTAATGACGGCTCCATTTGCCATAGACACGGTATCGGCAAGACAAGGGCTTCTGATCACTCATACTGCACCTGAGGATATCATCAGCATAGAGCACGTTCGGTCCTCGATAAAATGTTTATTTCTGAGGAAAGTCATGAATATTTTCCCTTGAAATTTTCAGAATTTTTACATCCATTTACGAACGAAATCCCGTGAAAAATTGGAGGAGAAATATCCACAGATTTTCCTGAAAATTCAAGATTTGTAGAAGGAAATTTGACAACGCCTGATGGTATATACGGCGTTTTTCTGTAGCACGACAGTTTTGGTATGAGATCAGAGGAAAAATCGGGGTCATCTTCGGTTAGTAATGCTCAAGATTCTCCTCGTAGGTGAATGTGCAATTTTCTAGGGAAAATTTGGCAACATTGGAATGCAGTTACTGCCGTGCTGAGGAAGAACGCCGCATGAACACTCGAGAGTTGCCAAATTCCCTTCGTTAAAATGTTTATTCATGAGAAAAATTATGAATATCTTTCCCTGAAACTTTCAGACGTTTTAGATCAAATCAGAAACAAAATTATCAGAGAAATAGGTAGACAAATATTCTAAAACTTTCCTGAAAAATTAGTGATTTGCCAGGGGAACTTTGGCAACGTGTAAAGGCTCTTACTGCGTTTTTCCTTAGCGAGGCAGGAAACCCGGGAATTTCCGGGCATTACGCGTTACGGCGTTTTCCCCTGGCACGGCAGGATTCTCCCGGCTTTTTCGGGTGGGAAACCCGACGCGCGGCGTCGCGAGGCCGCGTGCGCGTGTGCGGAATGTCCGGTGCCGGTGCTGTCCAATGCTACCATGCTAAAAGGAAGAACGCCGTATGAACATTCAGGCGTTGCCAAATTTCATTTGAAAAAACACGAATTTCCTGGTTAACTTCTAAACATTTTCTTTCCAATTTTTCAGACAGTTTTGTTAGTAATTTCACCTGAAGTTCCCGAAAATTTCAGGGAAAAATATATATATCTTTACTCCAAAATAAACATTTTATCGAAGGAAATTTGGCAACTCTCGAATGTTCATACGGAGTTCTTCCTTATATAATAGCACGGCAGAATGAGCGGCTCGGCTTTTCAAGTTGGGACAAACCTGTTTCACTGTTCCGCTCATGCGATCCGGAGTCCGGCTCCGGAGCCGCCGTCTCGCGGAGATGGGAACCGGGAAGGAGGAGGAGGGGGCTGAGGATTGAGGATGAGGAATGCCAATTCGACCGTCAACGGCGGGCAGCCCTACCGGAGGAGCCGCGGCCGCCTCGAAAATACCCCGACCCTGGCTCCGGAACACCCTAGTCCGAGGATGCCGATTCGCCCACCGGAATTAGCTCCAGGGTTGCCCTAGGAATCTGCCATCGCACAGTGGATCCACTAAATAGGAGAAGTCGGACAAAATCTGGAAACTTTAAACGCTCATAACTCCGTTTATACAAAACTTTGAGGGTTTAAGAGTGGTTTCATTGGTTTTCTTGTGGAATTTTCCAGCAGAAGCATCCCTTTAAATTAAAATTAAGATAGATTGAACATCTAATTTTGCAGTTTTGGTTAAAGATTTCATGTCCGACCTTTCTAATTGACTCGATCCATTGTGCGTCGTACCCCGCTCAGTAGATCGAGTCATTTAGAGAGTTCGGACATGAATTTTTTTTTACTAAATCTGCAAATTTTGATGTATATTTCCACATTTTAAATTTTGAGGGGTGGTTTTGGAAGAAAATTCCACGAGAAAACCAACGGAATCACTCTTAGAACCTCAAAGTGTTTTATGAACGGAGTCATGAGTTTTTTAAAGTTTTCAAATCATGTCCGACCGCTCCTATTGACTCGATTCACTGTGCGTAGTAAGAGAGGACGCGAAAAATGTCTCTGCCAATCTTCAGATTCCAATATCCAATGAAAACAGCCAAGAATGTCTATAAATGAGCGCTCTTTGGAAGACTAGAATCCAGGCACACTAAGATGCGCAAAGTTTCCCGAAAGGGAACCAAATGACATCTAGTAGTGTCTTTTAGCGTTTAATGGTTTCCTTCAATGAGATGGGTATGCAATTCCACGACGGTTGGGTTCGAATAGTTGCCGCTCAATTTATCAAGGTTCGCTGAAGGCGCCACGTTTGATGTTTACGTCTGATTTTGTTCTTTTTAAGTTCGTTTCCGACGAGCGTGCAAAACTAGCCTTCAACGGTTTAGATATGCAACCTCGCCGCGACCCTGCTCGAATAGTTGCTGCTCAATTATTGCGGGTTTGATTGAAGGCGCCACGGCATTAGTGAACGGATAGTCTTGTTAGTTGTGAAGTAAAAGATCGGTTTCGACGAACTTACAAAAATCTCCTTCAACAAATTGAGTTTGTAACTCTGTTGGCCGCGTCTGAAGAAGTACAGAGTTGCCATAGTCAGGGAATACCAGGAAATGTCAGGGAATTTTAAAAAGTCAGGGACTAAACCAGGAAATGTCAAGGAAAGTGTCGGAAGTGTCAGGGAAAAGCTGTTAATTTACCTTTATTCGCTTTCTAAAATTAATTTGACGTCTAAAACAAAAAATTTTCCACGGAAACTATTTCAAATTATGCCTTTTCGGCCGTATAGCGTATCCTCAATTGTCAGGAAATTTTACTCAAATGTGTCCGGGAAATGAGGAAAATGTCAGGGGAATTTCATTTTCTAAATTTTGTGGCAATCTTGAATTTACTGATCAAATAATCTGTATTACGTGTTAGCTCTCAGAAATTTCGTCTGTTTTGGAAGCTTCTGTCTCCTTCTGCCAAAGTAAGAAGTATTGCACCTTGTCTTACTGCCGAATAGTAAGAGGAGGAGCAGGTGTCAATGATGAAATTGGCGCGAATAATATCGTAAGTGCTGACAGAATCAATGGCCACACGTAGCACCTGCTATTACCGGAACCACCTTCTCTTCAAAGCGGGCAGAATTACGCTAACTCAATTAGCGATTTCAAATGCTGGTCTTTGCATCACGAGTTTTGTAGCCAGCTACAGCTCTTATGGTGCTGCTCAAGGTGAACTGCAACTTTGATAATTTTCCGGCGAAAATCTGTCAGCCCATATTTTTATCATTGAAGTCGAAATTCGTTGATTTTTTATCATTTGAACAACTTTGATGGATCCTTTAAATGTTCGACATTTTAGTAAAAATCGGAATTTTTTGTCGAGTAAGAACCTCCTAAAAAGTCTTTTTTCTCCGTGTCAAATTTAATTAGGTAATTGTATTTTTTACATGAAAACGGTTCTGCGGATTTTTGTGCAAATTCCAGTGAATTTTCAGCATATTACGAAGCAAATTCCTTAACATTTCAAAGGAATCCGGCAAAATGTCCTCTTGTAAAAAATTAAATTGCCCAGTTAAATGTAACAGTAGTTGGTCAGGGTGTCTACAAGTCCGGGAATAGAACTGATTTTTTAAGAGCGGTCCGGAAGTACTGAAAAAGTGCGGAAATTCCACAAAAAGGCTGTTGTTTTAAATTTTTTGTCATTTCAATGGCAATTTCAAATTTATGAAATTTTTCTAATTTCGTCAAATGGAGGTACTGAAAAAGCACGGAATTTTTCTGTTGGAGGAGGTACTGAATTTCTCGAGAATGTGCTGAAAAAGTACTGTAAAAGTACTTCGTACTATTTCTGACCAGCCTGTTTTAGAAGACACCCTGTTTGTTGATGCGGCTTGGTTTCTTTCTAGTAAACGCGGTCCATTTAGGCTAAATTATTTAGCAGACATTCCTGCCAAACTTAATTTTTACTTTCTAAAACGCGGCAGCAGACGTTCGGCAGCGCGGGTCTGCATTTCCTGCGTCCAAGTCAAGTTAAAGTTGGGAGGGAAAACGAGAGAGGCGCGAGACCGGGCCGGCAGGCACTCGAACATCCATCGCGGCGCGGCGCGGCGCGGACGCCACATGCACTGGCGCATCGGCATCGCTCGATAACCCCGTCGTTTGAGTTCTCGGCCGCGAGACAGCGCCACTCTCCGGCTCGCCGCCGGCCCGAGTTTGTTCACCTGCCTCCGTCGCGTCGCGACGTCCTGTTATCTCCCCCCTCCCCCCCCCC